ATCATGGCCATCCGCCGGAACCGTGTGGCCCTGAAGGGTGAGCTCCAGGGCCAGGGGCCAGGATGGGGCCCTAGGCGTGATTTCTTTTACCTTCCTTCGAGCTGACTCTGGTGGGGTCCCGGGGCTCTGATTTCAGGGCTTGTCTGGCCTGAGAGCACCCTTGTGCTTGGAGGCTGGACGGATGCCTCCTCGGGCCTGTTTGCGTGACAATGCTGGGGTTCGGGTGGGAGCAGCTGTATGTGCGCCTGTCCAGTGATGGCTCCCTCCCACCCCTCTTTCCCTCCTGTGGCAGTCCTTTCTCACCCCTCTGCTGGGGTCAGCTTTGACCGTCAGTGTCTTTCTTCACAAACCAGGTGTCACAGGGATGCAGCTCTGACCCTTTGCCTGGTGCCTCAGCTGCAGCCAGCCCAGTGGTGGCTGGCACCGCCCAAGCAGGGATTCTTGGAGCCCTCCCGGGTTGCCCTGCTTGGCTTGAGGTCCTTAAACTGCCCCATCACTCAGTTTGCATACTCAGCCCATCACCTGCTCTGTATGAGGAAGGTGTGAGCAAAGATGAACCCAGGGGGAGCCCCAGGCCCTGGCAGTCAAGTAGAGGGGCCTTCATGCTAGCCACAGGGGACCCCTGTGCTCTGAGGACAGCATGCTGGGCAGGGTGCCGCTCACAGGCAGGTGGCCTTTGCTGGGCGCCCTCTGACTGCTGTCTCCAGTGGCCACTGGCCCCTGCTTCCCTTCCTCCAGGTGTCCTGGGTCGTAGGGCAGAGCCCGGCCAATCCGTGGGCTCCTCTAGGCAGCTACTGCCTGCCCCTGAGTGTGGCACCGTGATGCGGTGCCTGGCAATAGCCCCACCAAGGTCACCTTGCTAGCTCCAGCCTGGCCAGCCAGCCTGTTAGTAGTAAAGAGTGGTCACTTTCTGCTGCTCCAGACCCTGGGCAGGGAATGGCATGGCTGCCTGGCTGGTTGCCAACCTTTCTTCATTTGTTTACTTGTTCATTCCTTTGTTCAGTAGCTATTCATGGAGCACCTGCAGCATGCCAGGTGCCGGAGATCCCTGAGCATGTAGCCCCGTGGGGCTTAGGCTGGAAGTTGCATTCTCGTGTTTCATGAAGTATTTTTGCTCCCTGAGTCGTCTTCTGACGCCGGCAACCTTCAGCTGCCCTGCTGAGGTGGGGCGGGGGTGGGCAGTGCCGCTAAGCCTGTGTTGTGTTCTATAGGCAACATCGAAACCAACCATAATCTGCCGCCATCCCACAAATCCCGAAACAACATTCTTCGGTGAGGCCCAGGTGCACGGGCTGCGGGCTCGGCGGGGCTGAGGGGGGTACGCCACTGGAGTCTGGCTCCAGTCAGCTGCCTGTCAGGCCTAGCAGCCTCTTTCTCTGTCCCCTCCCAGCACCAGCCTAGATCTCTATGCCAATGTCATCCACTGTAAGAGCCTGCCAGGCGTGGTGACCCGGCACAAGGACATAGACATTCTCATTGTCCGGGAGAACACGGAGGGCGAGTACAGCAGCCTGGAGCATGAGGTGTGCACGGGGGCTGGGGGTGAGCCCCACTGGGGCCAAGATTATGGGGAGAGCTTAAGGAACCAGGGGCAGGCCTACCTTCAGAGGGCAGGGGCCATCCCCGAGGGAGAAGCCGGAAATAAGCAGACAGGGCTGCTTCCTACTGGGGCCCTGTCGCAGCAGCTCGTTTGGCCATCGCTGCTTTCCAGTCGGACATGGTTCTCTTCTCCTCATCCTCTCTTCAGAGTGTGGCGGGAGTGGTGGAGAGCCTGAAGATCATCACCAAGGCCAA